GGAGTTCCGCACCATCTCCGCCAAGCTGCGGTGGTATGACTCTGCCCTTCGAGCCGTCTTCTTGGAGGCACTGGCAACCTACATCCGGGATGAGATGGCGGGAAAGGAGCTGCCCCAGAACCTGGATGAAGTGGTGGATCTGGCGTTGCTCATGGATCAGCGGGTTCTGGTTCGGCCCAAGCCCTTTTAGTCGTCCATCCAGGGCGCCTGGACCTCTTCCTCGTTCCCCCACGCCTGCTCCCGGACCCGCTTCTACTGATGAGCCCATGCAATTAGGCCACCTTCCTCCAGAGGAGAGACAGCGACGGTGGCGCGAGGGTCTCTGTGCCTATTGTGGCTCCTCCCACCACAGACGCCTGAACTGTCCATTACGTTTGGGAAACGAATGAACCCACTGAGTATCGGGGTCGCTCAGCCTGGGTCACCTTCAGCCCCCGCCTCTTCAAATCGACTCCTTCTTCATGTTACCCTCCTTCATGGTGAGGCCTCACTCCAGATGCACGCGCTGGGGGACTCGGGGGCCGCTGACAATTTTATGGACATGGATCTGGCTAAGCGCCTACGGATCCCCATGACCCCCTTGGAGAGAGTTGTGCCAGTGACCTCGGTGGACGGTAGGCCCCTCCAACCCTATCCGGTCCAAAACCGAACCCAGCCACTCCAGATGATTGTCCAAGGCCACAGAGAGACCCTCCAGTTCCTGATCATATGTGCTCCCTCCTCTCCTCTAATCCTGGGATTTCCCTGGCTCCATCTCCATGACCCCCAGATTTCCTGGTCCCAGGGCCGCCTTTTGGAATGGGGGACCCAGCGCCAGGCCCACCTCTCTCCTCCTCCATCCATGCCAGACTGCCCGGCCGGTGACCCTGGCCCAACACCGCCCAATCTGCCACTGCCCTACCGGGACCTGGCTGCGGTGTTCGACAAGCGGCGCGCCACCACACTGCCGCCTCACCGCCCGTACGACATGGAAATCAAGCTGCAACCAGTAACCAGTCCACCCCTGGGGCACCTTTTTTCTCTCTCTCCTGCCGAGTCCAGAGCCATGGAGGAATATATTGACCAGGCCCTCCAGCAGGGTTTCATCCGACCTTCCTCCTCCCCAGGTGCCGCAGGCTTCTTCTTTATGAGGAAAAAGGAGGGTGATCTCTGCCCCTGTATAGATTACAGAGGACTGAACAAGATCACAGTCAGAGATCGCCATCCTCTGCCGCTCCTCTCGTCCGCCCTGGATGCCATCTCCCAGGCGCGGATTTTCACCAAGCTGGACCTCCGGAGCACCTACAACCTGGTCCGTATCAAAGCTGGAGATGAGTGGAAGACGGCGTTCATCACCCCCACCGGTCACTGGGCGTACCAGGTCATGCCCTTCAGACTGCAATAGCCCCGCCGTTTTCCAACGCTTCATCAAAGATGTCCTCCGTGACATGTTGGGACGGTGGGTGTTTGCCTACCTGGATGACATTCTGATCTACTCCAAGTCAGAGGCCGAACACCACCACCATGTTCGCGCTGTCCTGACCCGGCTCCTGGACAACAACCTGTTCTGTAAGCCCGAGAAGTGCTCCTTCCACCAGCGGTCCGTTTCATTCCTGGGCTACCTGATTTCAGATCAAGGTCTAACTATGGACCCTCAGAAAGTCCAGGTGGTGAAGGACTGGCCCCTACCAACCAGCCTGAAGCAACTGCAGAGTTTTCTGGGTTTCTGCAACTTTTACCGTCAATTTATCAAAGACTTTAGCACCATTGTAGCACCTCTCACCTCTCTCACCCGACCGAGCCCTCCTGGTCAACCGTTCCGGCTCACCCCAGATGCCGTTCGGGCCTTCCACTACCTAGTCGCTTGTTTCACATCGGCTCCTATCCTGCGCCATCCGGATCAGGCAGTCCCTTTTGTGGTCGAGGTCGACGCTTCGGATGTCGGCGCCGGCACCATCCTGTCCCAAGGCGGCCCAGATGACAGGCTACATCCCTGCGCCTACTTCTCCAGGAGTTTTCCACCACCCAGCAGAAGTACGGCGTAGGGGATCGCGAGCTGCTGGCCATAAAATGGGCGTTGGAGGAATGGAGGCAGTGGCTTCTGGGCACCACTCAGCCGTTCACCATCTGGACTGACCACCAGAACCTAACCCACATCCAGTCCGCCAAGCAGCTAAATCCTCGCAAGGCTTGCTGGGCCCTCTTTTTCAAACCCTACGAGTTCCATCTCGCCTATTGCCACGGGACTAAAAACCAGAAGGCGGACGCCCTCTCCCGCCAGTTCACACATTCAGCGCCCACGTCCGAGCCGGCGCCCATCCTCCCGGAGCACAGTTTCGTGGCCCACCTTGGGTGGCCGTTGGAGGAGGCCATCCAAAACGCCCACCGGGATGACCCAGCGCCGCCAGAGACCCCCGCCGGTCGGCTATACGTCCCCGCGGCCTGTCGCAGTGAGGCGTTGTCCTGGGCCCACTCATCATGCCTGTCTCGTCACGCGGGCTTCTCTCGGACTCTCAAGTTCTTGAAACGGGCTCTCTGGTGGCCACGTATGGAGAGGGACGTTAAGGAATTCACGAGCGCCTGTGACGTCTGCGCCCGCTCTAAGGCATCCACCCAGGCTCCGGTTGGCACCCTCAGACCTCTTCCTGTGCCCAGCCGCCCCTGGTCCCATGTGGGGCTGGACTTTGTCACAGGTCTCCCGCCGGTCAACGACCTCGACACCATCCTAACGGTCACTGACCAGTTTTCCAAAGCTGTTCACTTCATCGCCCTCCCGGGCCTTCCCTCGGCCCGACGCACCGCAGAACTGTTTCTGGAGAATGTGGTGCGTTTCCACGGGTTCCCGGTCGACGTGGTCTCAGATCGTGGTCCCCAGTTCATGGCCCGTTTCTGGAAAGCCTTCTGCCATCTAGTGGGAGCTTCTGTCAGCCTGTCTTCGGGCTACCACCCACAGACTAACGGTCAATCGGAGCGGGCGAACCAACAGTTGGGCCGGTACCTCCGCTGCTTTGTCTCGGCCCAGCCCTCGCAGTGGCCTAAGTACCTCCTCTGGGCGGAGCTGTCTCATAATCTCCACACCTCCTCGGCCACTCAGATGTCCCCTTTTGAGGTCTGCTATGGCTACCAGCCCCCAGTCTTCACCCACCAGGAACCCGAAGTCGCGGTGCCAGCCGCTCAATCCCTGGTGAGGCGCTGCAAGAACGCATGGATCAAGGCGCGGGCCTCCATTACCCGGGCCAACACCCGTTACTCACACCAACACCTCCGCAGGCACCGCCCGGGTCCCTCCTATGCTCCAGGGGACAAGGTCTGGGTGTCCACGGCAGGCCTCCGGGTCCGCGCCGGTTCCAGGAAGCTCGCTCCCCGGTTCCTCGGGCCCTACCCCGTGCAGGAGGTCATCAACCCGGTCACGTACCGGCTGCGGCTGCCTACAAGCCTTCGCGTCCATCCTACCTTCCACACCTCCCGGCTCAAGCCTTACGTGGAATCCCCCCTCCTGCCACCTCAGGCTCCAGCACCTCCGCCGGCCCGCTTCCTCGACGGTGAGCCCATCTACACAGTCCGGCGCATTCTGGACGCTCGCCGCCGGGGTCGGGGCTGGCAGTACCTCGTAGATTGGGCGGACTATGGCCCCGAGGAACGTTCCTGGGAGCCGGCCCGCTCCATCTTGGACCCTGCCTTCATCTCGGACTTCTGGGCCCGCCGAGGTGGTCCGGGGACTTCTGGAGCCGTCCCTGGACCGGGGGGTCCTGTCAGAGACCAAGCCCCCAGGCCGGGCTCTCCCAGCTGACCGGCTTCTGTCTCGGACCATTACCCAGCATGCCCCTCGCGGGGATTCCCTCCACGTTGCACCTGCGTCATCCATGTCTATATATGGAAGACGCCACACCGGCTCTTCACTCAGTCATCGTTCCACCGTGATCCATGATCAGAGTATTTCCAAAGCTACCACAGCTAAACCTCCACCTTTCCTCCTCAGACCTCATCCGTCAGCCTTTCCAGCACCGCTTTCAGCCAACCGTCTGTGTAATAAAAGCGCTTACTCCCGAACCCAGTCTTCGAGTCTGACAGCATGACAGTAAATTCACTTCAATATGCATGATATAGCTGTCCTTAAGTTTATAGTTGTGTTGATTTAACAGATTCCGTTATCTCACTTGTATTTCTGTAAAATGCTGTTGATGTCATCTTGTTTTATTATTTGTTCTTTATTATTTTACTGATTTTTGTAATACGCTTTGTATGGAATTATTCTTTGGACGAAGTTATCAGGATTGAGATTACGATCTGTGACAGACAAATGAATGCAGCACCCCATGCTGTGTTCTCACTTCATCGTGCTGATTCTGAACCTTTCCTACCTCGTCGTAGAGTATTATTATTTTTCTTGTTAGATGCTTATCAGTTTTGTCTTGAGTGCTGGATTTGTACCCTATTGGTCCTTATGACTACCGAGATGATCCCCTTTCCTGGTTTTACCCCTTCCCTGTCCCTTGAGTCATGATTCATAGGTAATGGTGACAAGTTATGGAAGTGGGTAGAATTTCTTATTGTTTTGCTTATTATTTTACTTATTTGTTCTTTGTTTTGTTGTTTTCTTTTTGTTTGGTTATCCTATTTGGATAAACAGGAGGGAATATGTTATGGAAATTTTATATTTCATTGCTTTAATCCTGTTAACAAATGCCCTCAAGCATTCTCACACTCAGACACACCCACACACACATTCTTGTCTCACTCATACACACACTGACTCTCTCTCACACAGTGACCTCACTCCCATTCTTATCTTTCTGTTTAAATAAACTCTGTGATCAGATGTTCGAGGCATTTTGCCTCGTGCATATGCCACAGTTATAACTCGTTGGCTTGTTGTCTATTGTCTCCTTTTCTCTTCGACTACAGGAAATGGGTTATTGATAAACATATTGATAAAATCCCTAACAGTGGTGTATGCGCTATGAAGTTGATTTTATTTTGATTAGAACATTAAAAGTATTGTGAGGTTGAAGATGACTCACGCTGGCAGCCGGTCCAAGGGTTCCCGTACATGTTGTCTGGGCACTCCGTACATTTTCGGCCTCCAAAGCCTGGCCTGCACTGACACTGGCCTGTCAGCTGGAAAAACAGAAAACTTATTTTTGATTACAGGTCAAGTTAAATCAAGTCAAATGGACACCACACATTTCTATTTAAAGGCATACTATGCTACCTTTTTATATTTTTCATTAATTTCGTTGAGCCAGTAAGAGCTACAATGACCCTTTACTGGGTTAATGAAATGTAACTCAGATCTCCACCACACTTGCAGCTTGTGAGTGTCTGCCCCTGTTTTGACTTAGAAAAAGTGGAGCTTCTGTGCTGTAGAACATTAATTGCAGCACAGAAATACTGAATAGTTGCACAACTTATAAAATCGCATATGACAGTTCGTTTAACCCTGCCTGCCAATGTAATGGCCCAAACTGTGCTCATCTGAAAAGTCCAGACCCATACCAAGTTACACCGGTCCAAAAATAACCAGACCCGACCAATCCAGAAAAAAGAATAAAACATTCCAACAAGCACAACAATAAAAACTTGTCTATTTAAAACCAAGATAAAATACATAAACTGCAGTTATAGGGAATAGCCAATGAAACAATTCATTTTTTAAGCAGTTCTATTACAAATGTTATTACATCTAACTTTGCAAAACATCCCATGTTTAGAAAAAACCCTTGTTGCTGTTCTCTCTCTCCCACTGTATCTTCTCTGATGTTTTCTGTAAATTAATTCCTTCTATTTTCACATAATACTCCCTTCTTTCTGGTTTCTACCCGGGTATTCCCTTGTCAAGTGGCTTTGGACACTTTGTCCAGGTGTGCCTTGAACATCTCGTCTCGTCTGCTGTTCTACTGTCCCTAACCCTAACTCAGGACGATATTGGATTGACGGAATGGGAAAGAAAGAAAGAAAGAAAGAAAGAAAGAAAGAAAGAAAGAAAGAAAGAAAGAAAGAAAGAAAGAAAGAAAGAAAGAAAGAAAGAAAGAAAGAAAGAAAGAAAGAAAGAAAGAAAGAAAGAAAGAAAGAAAGAAAGAAAAAGAAAAAAAGAAAGAAAGAAAGAAAGAAAGAAAGAAAGAAAGAAAAAGAAAGAAAGAAAGAAAGAAAGAAAGAAAGGCTTGGGGCAGGACCTAACCCCTGACCCGGAGAAGGCATTCTACCCTTTTCCAAATCAAGACCACGGTCTCAGATTCTGAGTAGCTGATTCTCATCCCAGCTGCTTCACACTCGGCTGCGAACCGCTCCAGTGAAAGCTGAAGATCACGTTCTGATGAAGCCAACAGGACCACCTAATCTGCAAAAAGCAGAGACCTGATCCTCAGGCCACCAAAACAGATGCCCTCTACACCTTGGCTGCGCCTAGAAATCCTGTTCATAAAGGTTATGAACAGAATCGGTGACAAAGGGCAGCCTTGGCGGAGTCCAACTCTCACTGGGAACGAGCCCAACTTACTACCGGCAATGCGGACCAAGCTCTGACACCAGTCATACAGGGACCTAACAGCCCGTATCAGAGGGCCTGGAATAACATACCCCCGGATTACCCCCACAGGGTCCCCCGAGGGACGCGGTCAAACGCCTTCTCCAAATTCACAAAACACATGTAGTGTCATGGTCTGTGCTGAGTTTAACTCTATGTTGTGCTGAGTCTTTTCTGTGTGCAGGTGGGTGTGCCCGGAGAGCAGCTGCTGCCTTTCTGCTCATCAGTGGTCAGGGGATTTAAGGAGCGTCGGGACAACTCATCAGTGCCGGATGATACTCAGCATTGGGAACTTCTCCTCCACCAGCCAACCTCCCTCATCAGGAAAATAGACTCACCAGATTCTAACCCTGCCTGCCAGCCCCGTCGCTCGCCCCTGACCGCCTGCTCTCCAACCGCCACCTGCCAACCTGGACATCCCGAACTCTGGTGCTCAGCTCCCAGCCATAATTCTGACTCTCACTCGACCAGCTCAGCCAGCCGTGACTTACCCTCCTCAATCTGCAATTACTCACTCCTGTCTCTGCTCTAGAACTCCACCGGAACCACCCGAACTCTGACCTTCATCTCCACCTCCACCGTACAAAAATAAACCTTTTTCTTACCTTCTGTCTCTGTGTATGATTCTGCATGTCGTGGGTCAAAAAACTACAACCCAACATGACAGACTGGTTGGGCAAATTCCCACACACCCTCCAGGATCCCCCTAAGGGTATAGAGCTGGTCCAGTGTTCCACGGCCAAGAAGAAAACCACATTGCTCCTCCTGAATCTGAGGTTCAACAATCCGACGGATCCTCCTCTCCAGAACCCCTGAATAGACCTTACCAGGAAGGCTCAGGAGTGTGATCCCCCTGTAGTTGGAATACACCCTGCGGTCCCCCTTTTTCAATAAGGGGACCACCACCCGGGTCTGCCAGTCCAGTGGGACTGCCCCCGATGTCCATGCGATATTGCAGAGCCGCGTCAGCCAACACATTATTTATCATTATTTAATAATATTATAATTTTACTGTACATATGATTTTATTTATTATTTATTTTCTTACTTTTGTCATTTATATTAGCTCTTTTATTTTCATATTTTTATTCATTTTAATCCATTGTTTTCTCTGTAGGGGCCCTCTGCCCCAGGGGCAGTGGTCAACTGTTGCTTCCTGGGTGCTCTACAAGAAGTGTTTAACCCTCCCACAGTCCTAATGGGTGTGACCCCGCGAGGAAAGTTGACCATTGAGCAGGGTTGATGGTTTATCCCTTTTGTCCATGTGGCAGGAGTGAGGGAGAAGCCATCTCACCCCTGCCACGTGGACCTCAAGGGATAAACCATCAATCCTGCTCAATGGTCAACTTTCCTCGCGGGGTCACCCATAAAGACAGTGGGAGGGTTAAGTGGAGGTGGGGGTCTTTGCTCCCACTCCTCTGAGCTCCCTAACTTAGCGTGGAAGACCTGATGCTGCAGGGGCAGACGGCTCCTCTGATGGCGTTTCCTTGCCTTACCTTACTTGGCTCATCTGGACTCAGCCGAATATAAATTTTTACTGATGTGATTGTGATTGTGTGTGTGTGTGTGTGTGTGTGTATGTGTGTGTGTGTGTGTGTGTGTGTGTGTGTGTGTGTGTGTGTGTTAATGTTTTCAAACTGTTATGGGAATTTGGGATCACTTTAATTCTTTAAAGCACTTTGAGTCACACTTTGCTTGAAAAGCCGTTGTCATCGTCGTCATCTTCCTCCGCTTATCCGGGTCCGGGTCGCGGAGGGAACTCCAGACCGTCCTCTCCCCGGCCTTCTCCGCCAGCTCCTCCGGCAGGACCCCAAGGCGTTCCCAGACCAGATTGGAGATGTAACCTCTCCAACGTGTCCTGGGTCGACCCGGGGGCCTCCTGCTGGCAGGACATGCCCGAAACACCTCCCCAGGGAGGCATCCAGGAGGCATCCTGACCAGATGCCCAAACCACCTCAACTGGCTCCTTTCGATCCGGAGGAGCAGCGGTTCTACTCCGAGTCCCTCCCGAATGTCCGAGCTCCTCACCCTATCTCTAAGGCTGAGCCCGGCCACCCTATGGAGGAAACTCATTTCGGCCGGTTGTATCCGTGATCTCGTTCTTTTAGTCATTACCCAAAGCTCATGACCATAGGTGAGGATTGGGACGTAGATCGACCGGTAAATTGAGAGCCTGGCTTTCTGGCTCAGCTCCCTCTTCACTACGACAGATCAGCTCAGCGTCCGCATCACTGCAGATGCTGAACCAATCTGCCTGTCGATCTCCCGATCCCTCCACAGGAACTGCCCCCGATGACCACGCAATGTTGCAGAGACGTGTCAACCATGACAGCCCTACAACATCCATAGCCTTGAGATACCCAGGACGAACCTCATCCGCCCCCGGGGCTCCGCCGCTGTGTAGTTGTTTGACTACCTCAGCAACTTCTGCCCCTGAGATTGGACAGTCCATCCCCAGGTCTCCCGGCTCTGGTTCCTCCTCGGAATGCGCGTAGGCGGGATTGTGGAGCTCCTCAAAGTATTCCTTCCACCGTCCGACTATAGCCCCAGTTGATGTCAGCAGCTCCCCATCCCCACTGTAAACAGTGTGAGCGAGTTGCTGCCTTCCTCTCCTGAGGCGCCGGACAGTTTGCCAGAACCTCTTTGGAGCCGATCGATAGTCTTTCTCCATGGCCTCACCAAACTGCTCCCACGCCCGAGATTTTGCCTCGGCAACTGCCACTGCTGCACCCGGCTTGGCTATCCGGTACCTGTCTGCTGCCTCCGGAGACCCACAGAGCAGCCACACCCTGTAGGCCTTCTTCTTCAGCCTGACGGCTCCTCGAACCTCTGGTGTCCACCAACGGCTACGGGAGTTGCCACCACGACTGGCACCGGCCACCTTGCGACCACAGCTAGCAACAGCCGCCTCAACAATCGCAGAGTGGAACAAGGCCCACTCAGAGTCAATGTTCCCCACTGCTCTCGGGACGTGGTCAAAGCTCTGCCGGAGGTAGGAGTTGAAGACCTTCTTAACAGGTTCTTCTGCCAGGCGTTCCCAGCAGACCCTCACTATGCGTTTGGGTCTGCCAGGTCTACGCGACATCTTCCCCTGCCATCTTATCCAACTCACCACCAGGTGGTGATCAGTTGACAGCTGCGCTCCTCTCTTCACTTGGGTGTCCAAAACATACGGCAGCAGGTCAGATGATACGACTACAAAGTCTATCATCGACCTGCGACCTAGGCTGCCCTGGTACCAAGTGTACCGATGAGCATCCTTATGTTCGAACATGGTGTTGAAAAGCGCTTTATAAATAAAATCTGATTGATTGATTGATTGATGGCATCTTTCTGAGTCAATTAGTGAAGCTCTTAAACATACCAGGTCACGTTTAATCAGAGTTAATTCACTGTCTCAGATGATATCACTTTGAATCACCATTTATAATTGATTGTCTTGCATCTTAATCAATAATAGAAATATAGTAATAAATAGACATCTGGTCAGGATGCCTCCTAGATGTCTTCTTGGTGAGGTTTTCCGGGCACGTCCAAATGGGAGGAGGCCTAAAGGTAGACCCAGGACACATTGGAGGGACTATGTCTCTCACCTGGCCAGGGAATGCCTTGGGGTTTTCCCGGAATAGCTGGCCCAAGTTGCTGGGGAGAGGGAAGTCTGGGCCTCTCGACTTAAGCTACTGCCCCCACGACCCGACTCTGGAGAAGCGGATGAAAATGGATGGATGGATGGATAGATTTTTATAAACTATATTTTTGTCTCTGTGTCAAATTATTATAAAGTGTTGTTTCCCTGGCATACCCAACTTACCTAGTTTCATCATCAATTGAATATTAAAGGTTCAGTAATTTTGATAATCCATATTTTCATGGAATATTACATTTTATTGAATACCTTTATATTCTATTGCCAATTTATTAAAAGTAACCACTTACAAAATGTTGCACAGCTGTGCAGTGCTCTGTCCGTAGTATAGTGGCTGTGGTCATAGCAGTCGACCAGCAGTGGTTTGGGACTCTATTCACAGACACATAGCTACAGCCACACTGCTACGGGCACAGTCAATATGCTATGAGCACAGCAGTCGACTGCTATGACCACAACCACTGTGCTGCGGCGGAGGACTGCACAGCCATGTTAGCATTATATGATGGAGCACAAAGTCAAAGTACAGACTTTGCTGCTTATTGGTTATAATATTCCCTGTCATAGTAAAAACAATCCACTCGGTTCATGTAATCCCACGTCTCAATGTCACACTTAACTGATTCCTGACTTTTTGGGCTTTTTTCTTAGATTTTAAAAGATTGGTGTGGCTAGAAGTCACAGGTCAGGATTGCAGAGGGATGGGTTTCCTGAGTTGGGCCTACCTGGTCACAGCTGTCACTGTTGGAGCTGATGGGCTCACAACCACAGGGTTCACAGCGTTTGGATAGTAGTGATTTCCAGTAGCCTTTTGAACACACGTCACAGGTGAGACCGAGGAAGTTTGGACGACAGGGACATTGACCAGTGAGAAGGTCACAGATATCCGACAGAGATCCGTCTGGAGAACAGGAACACTCTGGAGAGCAGGAGTGGTTATTAGTAAGTGAGTGAGTAAGGTTTTTCTATAAAGCACTTATCATAGATAGTGTAACAGAATGAAATGACTGTTTTCCCCTTCCTCTGACACAGGACTAGTCTGCATGAGATATGGTCTCAAGATCACATGCATTCGCTTCTAACCTGCTTATTTTCAGCTAAGCAGAAGAACGAAGAATAGACTCTTTTCTTTGAATTAATCAAAGAACTCTATTTTAATAAAGCTAATACAACCAAGTGTTAGTCAATAAATGTGACCGATCTGTGAAATCAAAATATTAATTACTTAATTATAATCCTATAGAATATAAAGGTACTATGACTTTAAATGTTCCAACAGGACTGATTTCACGTAGCGTTAAAAGACATGACACATTAATTTCACTGATCCAATCAGAATCTGACAGATCTGACGGAGGCGTGGTTTTGATGGTGTTTGGTAACTCTGTCAACTTTTCATTTGACCATAAACCATAACATCTGAAGTATAAAACTATGCCACGTCATCTCTAACGCCAGTTCAAAGCGTTCTAGAGAAAGTGCCGGAGTGGGCAATCCGTAACTCTCCTCTTCAACCAAAAGAACCAACAACAAGCTGGAAAATTTTTTGCTGTTCCCACTGCCGCAACGGTTCCTGTCAGAATAAAAGCTGAACCATCAAGACCCAGGCTTGGGTCTCACTAGACGCCAATAAAATTGTCATGACCCGGGAGTATCTCAGAGACTGGTCTGGTTGGCAACCGCCGCTTCTCCTACTGGCTGCGGTTCAACAAAAGGTCAAGCTGGACCTCGACATTCCTGATCTAACGGAGGCTTCCACTAGGGTAGGTAGACCGGCAAATGGCATCGAATGTGTTTATTAATCTCCTAACCAAAGCTTAACGCGAAGACATCACCTTCAGTTCCCATCAGAACTAATCGCTTCTTCGGATTTGCTGTTTCTGAGCAACATCACACGTCATCCCATTCATCGTCTCATCCACCTTAGTTACACCATACATTTAGTATTAAAGTTAGTCTAGTTTAATTTGTTAGTAATAAAATTCTTAAACTTTTAAACTTGACTCTCTCCCTTCTGTTGTCTCTATGTGAATACGAAGCAGTTATCTAATCCCTGCATTAAAAAGTTCCAATCTTCTGGTTTGAAATAACCTCACAGATCCATAAGGTGGATTTCATATTTACTATGGAATCCGACGCCTTATGGCTTATTAAATAACATGTAATTTAATTCATTACAGAATGGCAAGCCTAGCCAGATATTTGTGCATTTTGGACATTTCGTGAGACATATATATATTTTTTTAAACAATAAAAGACTAACGAAACGTAGCGGGAAAACAGGTAAACAAAAACTGCTCTGTTTTAAAAAAGAACTACAGCATGGAATTAGAGATACGACACAGCAAGAACACACCTAAGATGTTCAAAGAAATGAAAAACTAAAACTGATGTTTCTGGTTGAAAAGGGGTACAATCTCGTACTGTGCCACTAGAGTGCAGCATCTCCATTTTAAGTCAAAAGGGGGGTAACACTGTTCTCCTCCCACAGGGAGGCGCTGATTCATCTCTCTTCATCTAACCCCCAAATTCCACTACCTCCGCTCCGCCCCCGCCTTCCGCAGCTGCTCGCTTCCGAACTCAATTTTTACTGGTACCCGCTCTACAATGGCTCCGCTCCGGTGCGGGGACCTGAGGTGCGCAAACAAGCATGCGCGGGATTGTCGAGATCTTGCGATACAGTCCGAGCAATAAACGCGGAAGTTATATCCAAACACCCGTTGTGTGGGAGAAGCATCGAAATGAACTGTTTAATCTGCCATCATTTGTGTTGAGAGATCAGCAGTGTTTGGATCAACAAAGTGTGACTACTTTGATAGTAGAAACTGTATTTATGGCTTATTTTTGTGCATTTAAAGTTCAGCCGCCATTGATAGTTGTTAAAAGTTGTTAAACCTGTGCATATGAAACAAAAAATGCTTTTTGTTTATCGATTTATTGTGAAATAACGGAAGCTGTGCTTGCTCCCTTTCCTGTTGGGCGGTTGTGATTCCTGTCCATTGACTGCGGAGGTGCTCCAGCATCCGGCGAAAATAGGATCGATTCTATTTTTGCCGGACGCCGGAACAGAGGGCGGCGCACTGCGCCGCACTGCCGCAGCACGGCCGCAGTAGTGGAATAGCTCTGATTGACTACAACGGGACCGATTTTGCTGCGGAGTTCGTGCCGGAGCGGAGCGGAGGTAGTGGAATTTGGGGGTAAGTCTGACATCATACGCAGCCATTTTGGTTCCACCTAAAGCCATTGGGGTTTCTAGCAAAGAACAGATTTTTTCCTGCTGTCATCTGAAATGTTTAAATATGTTTTAGAGTGATTTGAGACACTGTGTGATAACTTGTGTAACGGAGATAGAGATCTCCACTGGGAGTTCGCTTCCAGATCGCGGATTTTATCACGGTGATCAGCCTTGTTGAGCTGCTTAGCACTAGCTGCTAAATATAAGCGTTTTAAACGGAAGAGCGTCGCTGCACCACGAAGTGGATACGCAATTAGGCCGAATAGTAATATGAATGCTCACGAACGTTCGATTATTCATGCCGGCCAGTTCTACTACAGAATTGGACCAAACTGCCTGATTCAGCTGACAGGCCCGCTAGCTTAGCACGCAGCTGCTACAGTTTAGCTTCGATTTCCGCAAAAAATTGAGTTGCAAACCGCACTGAAAATCGATCGACACAGCGCTCCTGTGTCTTATAAATCCGCTACCCACAAAGGGATAAAAATTTGCTTCGTTCGAGTTGATTTAGTGGCGTTTTCAACACGTTCGGTGTGAGAAACGGACCTCGGTAGCATTTGTGCTAGCCGCCAGTGGACGCACGGCACATGCGCACCTGCCACCATCTTGACTGTTAAGACCACGCAGCATCGACCAGCCATTTTCGGTATGGTCAGTAGAGTGATATTTCTGGGTCATTACTTAAATGTTCTGCCTGAATGTTCATTAAAAACACAATAATTTCTCCTGTAACAAAGCTCATTTACAATCAACCGGTAAGAACTGTTTCTTCCCTGCTGGAAAAACCAGCATAGACCAGCAAAAACCAGCAAAGACCAGCAAGGAAGCCATGCTGGTCTATGCTGGTTTTTCCAGCAGGGTTGTTCAGCTTCCAATAATTTTATATCAAATGAAAGGACCTGGAACATTAAAATGAGTTCAGAGGAAATTAAACAACTGACTAATCTCATCCTACAGATGAGAAATGATTTTCAATTTCAGCTTGCTGAGATGAGAAGCATAAAATCACAGCTTTTCAATCTGCAACAGGAAGTCACAGAAATCTGAGATTTTGGAAATGATTTTTAAGTGGGAGGGGCGGCAACCCTGTGTTCTGCTGATCTCCCGCCAGATAAAATGAAAATGCTGCAATCGGATGTTTTAATTGGCTCTGAATTACAGGAAACCCCCAACATCTCGCAATTCGCTCCATCCACGTTGATGATAAGTGAAACCCTGGTGTCGAGCCTGACAAACTACTGCTGGGACCTCTCCTGCCACGGGGGAGGGGTGGTAAGCCCACAATAGATGTCATTTTGCAACAGGTGCTCCCCTGCAAAGCACTTTTAGATATGGGTTCATATTTTACAATCATGGGCAAGTCTCTTTATGACCTTGGATATGGGGGGGGGGGGGGGGGGGGGGGGGGCAGACAGCCAAGTTACAGTCCTGGACTCGCCGCTAACATCAGCTGAGCTCCAGGAAGCCCTTAAATCCATGACTAGTAGGAAAGCTCCATGTCCAGACGGGTTTCCAGCAGAGTTCTACAAAGAATTCTGGATCATTCTGGATCCAACATTTTTCAGAATGGTGAGGGATATCGCAGAGTGCGGCAGCTTACAGCCAAACATGAATTCAGCCAATATAAGTCTCTTAAAACCAGGCAAAGACCTTGCATTTCCTACCAGCTATCGCCCAATTTCTCTTATTAATGTTGATCTCAAAATAATTTGTAAAGCCCTGACAAAAAGATTAGAGTCGGTAACCCCCTTCATAATACACCCTGACCAAACTGGTTTCATCAAGGGCAGACAGTCATCCACTAACTCACGTAGATTACTTAATTTGATAGATTTCTCTTACAGTAGAAACATAGAAACTAGTATATTATCTCTAGATGCAGAAAAGGCTTTTGATAGAGTTAACTGGAAGTTCTTATTTGCAACTTTACATAAATATGGGTTTGGGAACTTCTTCATAAACTGGCTACAAACATTATACAGTTCACCAACTGCACGTGTCAGGACGAACGACCAAATATCAGCTAGCTTCTGTCTTCAGCGGGGGACCAGGCAGGGATGCCCAGTCTCCCCCTCACTGTTTGCTATCTTTATCGAACCACTAGCAGCAGCAATTAGGCAAACAACAGGTAATAACGGGATAAAGTGTAAGAAAATAGAACATAAGATCAGTCTTTATGCAGATGATGTTTTACTCTTTCTCCGGAATTCTCAATCCTCTCTCTCTCATTCAATAGAACGGATAAACTCTTTTTCAAGAGTTTCAGATTACTCTATAAACTGGTTAAAATCCACAGTTCTACCAATTAATTCATCTTATGTCAATTTACACAATTGGAGTCAGGGAATATCACATACCTGGGAATTAATGTCTCTCCCAAGTTAGCAGATATAACCAAACTAAACTACATCCCACTTTTAAAGAAAGTGGACGATGATCTTGCAAGATGGAAATCCTTACCGATATCACTCATGGGGAGGGTTGCTACAGTTAAATGATGGTCTTACCCAGAATAAATTACTTATTTTCAATGATCCCAAACAAACCACCAGCTGACTTGTTTAGATCTCTGGACTCCTCAATTACCAAATTCCTTTGGCAGGATAAACCTCCACGAATTAGCTTAAAAACGCTTCAGAAGACCAAAGACAGAGGAGGACTGGATTTACCCAACTTTTATTATT